AACGACCAACATGTTGATTCCCTTCCTTTATAATTTTTTCTATTGTACCATCTATGTAATTTGGTTACTTATGTTTAATGTATTTATCTAAATGATAACCTAACAAACTTCCAACATCACACATTAAATTACCCAAATTTTTAAAGTTTTTTTCAAAGTTTTCTATTATATTATTTTAAGGCCATACATTTCGTACTATTACTCCTCCTTATTTTTTTGTATCTTCTAAAAGCTCCTTTATAGGTTCATCTTCGCGCACGAATGCATAGTAACTTCCTTTAGTATAATCTATTCTTCCCTTAAATTGCTCTTTTCCATGACTCCAACCAGAAAAATAATACATTTCAGGTTTCGTTAATTTATCTAACTCTTCTTTTGGTAAATTTGCAAGTATATTAGCTTATGGAAGTAAGGCAGTACGATATTTTTCGTAGTCTGGTACGTTTGATACAAGGCAAAGACCAATCCCATGAGGTCCAAAAGCTTTATCAATTTTTTCGTATAAAATTGATTCTCTGTTTTTAAGATCTTCATAATCAAATATAACTATAGGTGCTTTTTCAAATGTATTCATTTTTAATTTATTTTAGTTTATTTTATTTTTTTATATTTTTTATAATTATTTGCTTTATATAAATTTATATGGTTTAAATTTATTTTAGTTTTTGTATTATATTTATAAATTTAAAAAATATATATCTTTTTTTTTGAATAATAATTTTGTAAAGAAATTTTTATTTTTTTATATCTTTTAAAAATATCAATTAAAAGAAAAAATTTTAAATTTAAAAAAAAATATTTAATTAATTAATATTAGTATAATGTAAAATAAAATATAAGGTTTATTAATTTATATTAAATGCTTTGTATTGATCAATAAGATTAAATAATGTTTTAAAAATATATAAAAACTATCAATGTAGTATTTAATAAATAATAATTTTATTATTAATAATTAAATTATATATGTAAAATAATTTATTTTATTTTCTTTATATAAAATTAAAAAAATAATTAGTTTTAAATTAAAATATAAAATAAGTATATTTAAAAAAAAATATATTTAATAATTTATTATTTTATTTTTTATCTTATATTTTTTTTAGTTAAATTATTTATTTTCTTTTATTACGTTGATTAAATAAATAAATCTTAATATAATATATTTAAGTAAATAATATATAAACATAATCATACTTAATTCAATTAAAATAGACCAAAATAAAAAAAAGAAATAATGAAGCTATCATAAAAAAACTTATAAAAAATAAATCGCTCTTAGATTCTTTATGGAAGAAGCTATTCTGATTTTTAAAGAGGTTTCATAAGTTCGTTTCTTCAACATACTGACAAATAGTAATCTTTGCAAAACACAGCAAAATGTATTCCAAAAACATAAATAATTGTAGGCTATAATCAATTTATGGAAAATAAGAATGTATCACTCGATCAACCAACAAATAAATAAAAAAAACTTTCAAACATATTTAATATATGCAGAAGGTCATCAAATGAAACAAGTAAATTATTGAGTTGTAATTAAAGCCCAAAAAAAACATAAAAAAATATAATTAGAAAAACTAATAATAAACGAACTATTGAATAATAAAAAAAAAGTCTCAAAAATAACAATGAAAACACATAATATAATATTAGTAAAGAATAATCTCCTAATTATTATAAAATATATAATTCTCCAAGTTTAGAAAAATGTAAAAAAAGTAAAAGTTAATAAAAGAATAATTAAAATAAAATATTACTTGATTTGATGCTTTTTTATATTTTCTGTAATTTAATTTAAAACTCAATATAGAAAAAAAATTGAAGTTGTTTATTTTTTATGATCTTTTTTTTTATTTATTGAGTTTTTAAAAAAATAAAGAAAAAATAAAAAAGCATCAAATCAAGTAATATTTTGTAATTAACATAATTTAAGCAATTATTAATAATATGATTTTTATAAAGACATCATCACATAAAGCAAATAAATATGTAAATAATAATAATAAATATTAGGAGGACGTTTTGAATGTAATAAACATTAAAATTCTATTAATTTTAATAATTAAAATAAATTAGTATTTTAATAAAAAAATGAAATAAAAGCAAATTCTCTTATTCATAAATATACTTTAATTAATAATAATGAATATAATAAAATTAAAATTTAAGAAAATTATAATAAAAATTCTTTAAAGAAAAAAAAGCAATGTGATATATTTACCGAAAAAAAGAGTTAAATAGAAAATAATAGTCCAAAAGTTAATAATATTCAGAGATTTGCAATTTCAAAC